AGAGATCGACCAGGAACATCTCATTCAAGGCTCCGCCAGACAAAGTAAGTAGTTAAGATTTCATTTAAGATGCAAAGACATGTTACTAGACATTGCTAAACAAGATAATGAGGTGATCTGTTTTAAGTGTCTGAGTACTCATTCAGGTCATCTGAAAGGAACTGCCTCATGCCTTGCTTAAAGGCAGGGATGCCTTCTGAGAAATGCATACTCAGTCAATTGTGTCATTGTGTGAACATCATAGAGTGAACTTAACTCAAACCTATTTGCTACAGCCTATTACACCCCTAGGTTATATGGTAAAGTCTATGTGCTCTTTATGGGCCACTACTGTATGTGGGGTCTGTGGCTGACCAAAATATCAACACGCAGTGCATGACTGTAATTGCAAATAAGGAAACAGTGGGTAGCTGCTACACAATCCAGGCAAGGAATGATGACGCTCAGACCAGGAGGAAGAGGGGGAGGTAGAGAGAAGTAGATGGATTTGGTACAGGAGAAATAGAATTGGAAGGACTTGCTGAGGGATTAGACAAGGGAAGTAAAGAAAGAGAGAGAAACAGCTGTGACTTCCACATCTCAGGCTGGCCCAACTGTAGACAGCAGTGCCGCTTCCTGAGATGGGCAAGTTGGGAGATAAGCAGAGCTAGCCCATGTTTGAAATATCTATTACTCATCTGTGTGGAGGTATCAAGGAGGCTGGTGTGTACCTGGAAGTAGAGAACTTTGGAAATAGCTAAAAAGAGTCCTAGGACCAACACTTATGAGAAAGTTACTATATGCCAAATATTGTTCAAAGTGATTCATAATTATTGCTTTACCATCTCCTCACAGAAGCCTGTTTTAAATAGCTATAACTATTATGATCATTGTTCAGGTAATGAAAATAAAGCACAATGTGAATAAGCAACTTTCCATATTCACACAGGGCAACACTAAAAGAGTCAGGATTGGAGCCCAGGGCGCTTTATCTGAGAAGGGGGTGGGTGGGGGTGAATGGTGGTGCACCAGGAAAACAGCACACTCCGTGAGGCAGACTCACAGTGGAGGCTCCGAGCTTTCATCCAGAGAGCTCCCTGAGCCTGCAGGGGTGTGGTGCTCATGTCCTGGGGTGGCTGAGGCTGGCAGTGGATTTCGGCATCCAGACCTAGTTGTGGATTCTCTCTTGTGTGCAGTAACTCTCTCACTCTCATAGAAGAAATAATAAATAACTCTCAAAACATGTGAGAGTGACCAGAGTAATAGAAATAAAATGATGAATGCATGACCTCATTACAGTAAAGAAAGAAGAGTATTTCATGTTTCCCACTGAAGGAGCTGCTAAAGATAGAGACAGTTTAAGAGCAAAGTAAATGAAAATTAATTCAAGGTCTCTAAGACATCTCCTGAACTTCCAAAAGGTGCAACAGTATAGAACACAAACCTTGGCTTGTGGCGCGAAGGGCCTGGAGGCATGGGGAAAGGCGTTTTGTGGCACCAGAAATACCACAAAGAGGTAGACTGACTGATACAGGCTTCTTGGCTTTTATATAAAAGCACCACGGAAAAAATGAAGCTTTAAAGGGGCAATTTTTTGTTTAACATTAAGTCAAATGTTGTGATGAGTTGATCAGGGCTATTTCACTGTATAACCATACCACCCTTTAGGAAGTAAAAGTTATCATAGAGAATGAGGATGGGACTGCATCAGTAGTTACATGTCTATAAACAAAACTCTAGTAGCTACAGCAGTAAAAGTTGCTGTTCAGTGTTAACGGATGATATCACCTAATCAGTCCTTGAGATCTAACACATTATGTGTAAGAAAAACAGTATTTTGTTTGTATTTGGCAATTTATTGTGAAAATACTTGAATATTTATTGTATTGAGCACATAAAACTAGATGCGCCATCTGCATGTAAATTTACGGTCATAAGGGTGAGGCGAGGGCTCTCTCAATATTCAAAATATGCAAAGACTATTAATTTCTTACTTTGTAGTCTCCAATACTGCTCATCGCAATGTAAGGAGAGAAACAGGCTGCTGGTACCCAGAGGTTGGCGTCAACAGGGTGCTCATTCTTGAAAGAAGTATC